AATTTACTTATGAAATTTATGTGTGTTAGGGCTTGTTTTTTGCGGGATAGTGATTACTCTCGTATTAGTATTTTTTTTTAAAGTTAAATCTTAGCCTTGAACAATAGGGTAATGTTATTCTCGATCAACATTCATTATAAATTATACTGATAGACTACATTACCCTTCATTTTTAGTAAAATTACAGGGTAATTGCTAGATTTAATCAAAATGTTATTAGACTGTTGTTTTGTAATTATTAAAAAATGTTAAAAGGACAAATTGATGTTCTTAAAATTATCAAGTACTCTATTAATTTTTTGGAAAAAATATTTTTAAACTGGATAATATCATTTGAAACAAATATTTTATTGGTAGATAATATGTAGAAGGAAAAAAATTGTCGTATAAATAAATAAAATAAAATAAAAATTATGCCCATATGCAAGGTGGACCTCAACGCCTTCCCTTCCACGCCCTGGAAAGGTGACCAGGTCCCCTCTCTCTCGAGCCTAGCATCCATCACAGCCTCCTAGCATGTCTAGAGGCTGCACAGTGACCCTTCCCTAACCTAAGCCTAATGCATTCATCTGGTCAAAGAAGGTAACAAACATACAAACCCCGACAGAACTAATTAAACAGGAACCGAAACTGAGCTGAATCAGTAACAAAACTAGCACTAGCAGCTTGAGATTGATGGCCACGAAATGACAATGACGTAAGCACATAAATCTTGTCACATCCTGGCCACCAGATCTAGTAGGCATAGGTAGATTTTGCCACCAATACGTCTACCTACTGTCCTTTGTTCCACCATTGCCCTTGAACCATCCCTGCCTGGGCTGTAGCATGCCGGTAAATACTCATCGGAGTCGCATTCAAAAGTTGATTTCTCAAAACGTGTCACTAGCTGCTCCTTGCCCTGATATAGTCATATTTTCAAATCAAACCCATGAAAAGTTCATATGAGAGACGGGAGTTTATGTAAGTGCCGCCTTTCAAGATGACACTAATGACTAATGATCACCATACCTGGATCCTAGCACAGGCTATTTCACGTATCTTGTTGGACTGGAAAACATCCCATGCCTGATTTTTGGCGGGAAGGCTAAACTTCCACGCACCTCTTGTAGCTGTGAACTAGTTAACAAATACATAACCTTTGTTGGACCCTCTTCTGCACCACATCAAAACTTGTTTGTGTAGAGCCAATAATTTTTGGCTTTTGTGAACTAATACAGATGTGAGTGATCTCAACCAAACCCAACGATAAATAATTCAGCTGGACAAAAAGCCGCGGAAAATTGAAGATCAAATGCATAAAAGCAACGTACTCAAAGTCAACAGGCAGATAAAGAAAATCAAAAGCTGACACAATTGTCTCCTTGATAGAGTCATAGTTTTGAAGCTTTGCTTTTTCATTCTCCATTATGCAATGACTGTCAAGAAATTCCATTAACATTTCACGGCTGCAAGAAAAGAAGTGGAACAAGTGGACGTATTAGAAGCAATGTTGGAGCGATTATAAATGACGAACTACAAATGCTATTGCAGCAAAAAAAAAGATAATATCATGACTAATTTTGAACAGGGTTAGTGTTGATACAAATTCACAATACTTCTTGATTAAACCTAAAAGAGAAGCGCCACTGAAGAACCCCTCTACAGTCATAGACACAAGAGGAGAAAGAGAGAGAGCGATATGAAGAACCAGATACGTGTATCTATTGGGAATGTTCCTGATCATGACTGTGGTATCTTGGCCATCAGGCAACACAGGGAACACAGGATGCTTCTTCCTAGAATTAGCACCCCCACAAGACCTCACATTTCTTCCTGTATAAGGATAGTGTCTCTCGCGATTTCTACCACTTCCATTAGACTTGGCTCTGAAATATTCCTTCTTGGCGTGTTTCTTTTCATGCCCTCTATACCTTCTCTCCCATTAAAAGAACCATGATATCTGCTACAGTCCCCTCTCTTTTTGCTTCCTGCGCCAACACTTGCAGTCACCACCTGTTGCATCTCCGCGGCTTTGGGCTCATCTTGGGATTGCACCATTTGCGTTTGCACAGACAGTGCCAAAAGAGGGCTTGGCTTGGTTAATACTCTAGAGACCACGAGATCATGGTTGTGTGATATACCACATTGTGCATTGCTAGGATGTTCATGATCAGTGTCAGTTTTATAAGGATAAGGATGAGAATGAGATGGTCCTGAAGTAGATTAGTAATAAGAAGATGTGTTTCGATTTGTTGCTGAAAAGATTGGTGAATTTGGCAGATATTGGTGACTATAGTTAACAACATTATGTGAAGGTGCAACAATGTTTTGCAGGTTAATTAGGTAATTGTGAGGAAAGAACTCAGGTGCTTCTGGGCTCAAGGTGCTAATTTGAGTAGAAGACAAGGCAACCATTGACAACACCGAATCGAGACTAGTTTTTCATGGAGAGAGCAATGTTTGAAGAATGGCGTGTAGCAAACACAGAGCAGAGAGAGCTGCTAGCTAGGTCATGTTCAATACTTCTTTAGGCGTGGAGCCTCAGATGATGAGAGGAAATTATACGTTATACATTATTTTATACATAGAACTAACACAGGAGTTGCTTTTATTGTTCACGAAAACACTCTTCACTCGCAATTTAAAAAAAACAAATCACTTTTGTTCTTAGTATCAATATAGCGAAGTGATCGAAAAAAAAAATGTATTTATTATTAAAAGAGGTGATTAATAAAATTATTTTTTAATTAAAGAAAAAATTAGCTTAATTTTTAGAAAAAAAAATATTTTAAGTAGAAAATACCTTTTATAAATTATGAAAAATTTAGAAATGTCATATTATTTACTTATTATATCAAATTTGATTCTCAAACTTTTGATTGCTATATATTTTGTTTTGAATTTTATTTTTCAATTTTACATCATAAAATTTAATTTTTATATCAATTTTGATTTTTATTTTCATAATTGTTATTTTTTTCTCTTATTATTTTTTAATTGAAATTTTTTATCTATTAAATTTGATCTTTATTCTTTTTATTGTTATTTATTTTATTTGAAATAATTTATAATATTATAATTATTTTTTATTTCATCATCTTTTAACTTTTTTATCTGTTAAATTTGATCTTTAATAATTTTATTGTTATTTATTTTATTTGGGATCATTTATAAAATTAATTCTTTTTTTATTTTCATTTTCATTCAACTTTTTAGTTTGTAAGATTTGCTACTCATTATTTTAATAAACTTTTAAAAAATATTAATAGGTTATTTTTACAACTCATTTTTCATGACATAGCTAAACACTAGAAAATGTTTTCTAAATTATTTTTCATGATACTATCAAACATTAGAAAATAATTTACTTTTTAGGAATTTATGTTTCAAGGAAATCACTTTTCATAAAAAAAAAAAAATTACATTCCACCAAATAAATAGAAACTTAAACTTATTTTTTACACAATTAAGCCCTATTAAAACCAGATTAAAACCCAATTAGAAGTTGTTTTTTTTTTAAGGAATGGATGAATTGAAATAAATGAGATCGAAGTGAAAAATGCAAGAAAGATAGGTGGTAGCTTGAAATTTTCTGTCAAAAATTCATTTGAGTCCCCCATCTTTTTTATTTATTGGGTTATTGATCCCTAGACTTTTACAAAATTAAATTGTGATACCAAACTCCATTTTAATTATTTTTTAAAACTTTTTGGTTGGAGAAGAGAGAAGAGCTTGCTGAATTATAGCTTAGAGAGAGAAAGTGTATGTTGGCGGAGAATTCAACCGTCAAAAAGTTATTTTTTGTGTCAAATGGTTTCATATGACGAAAAAAGTAGATTAGATTTTTTTTTTACCTTGAAAACATCTAAAAATTAGATTTAAACTTAGAAAGTTTTTCATTTCGAGTGGATTTTGGGTTTTAGAATGATTTTTTATGTTCTCGTGGCCATGGATTGATTTATCAAAGCTCATAGAGTGTCTCCTGAGTATTCTAAGTTAAAATAGATAAAAGATTAAGTTTTGGGTTAAAAAACAAAGTTTCTTGTTTTTTCAAGCACTATAGTGACTGAATTTTGGAAATAAACAAATCACGTGTCATATGATTATGATGATCCATTAGTTGATATATTTTTAAAATAAATTTTAGGTTTATGTTTTATTAGTTTGTGGTGACATTTTAATGATATTGGATGTGTTTAATTTTTAAAGAGATAGGAATGGTCAACTATAATTTTTTTTTAATTTTATATAGATTAAATTTGTTTTTTTAATTATATTAATTTTTATATGTGCAACCTTGTATTTTTTTTTTATTCATTGAATTTTATATGTGTCAGTTTCTATTATAATTTTTATATGTTTTTACATTATAAATTTATTTTGACAAAAAAATTCATTAAACATAACAACATAAATTACCCGTATTGCGATGTTAAATATTTTAATCTTCATTTATTACTTAATTTTTTAAAACTCATCAATTTTATGGATGGTGGCAAGTAGAGGAATGCGGCAAAACCAGAAGCACCAGCAGTGAAGTACAATAAGCTGGGATAGATGTGTCGTAAGTGATGCTGATGGTGGAAGTTGTGATAGCAAGAACAGGGCGGGTGAGACATGGTTTTTCAGGCCACCGAGTACTTGAGGGATGTATAGCCGGATAGAGTCAAATGCAGCTTTACCCAAGGTGGCTGCCCACTGCTTCAGGAGGGGCTTCACTCGGTGGAGGGAGAGGAATGAGATGAGAAGATTAGTTTGGGAGATGGAACTGATATACGAGGAAGTGTCAAAAGGCATGATCGCTACTTCGTTATGGAGATGTTGGGAGCTAGCGGCTGGTTACAAGACAGTGGCTTCTTTCATAGACGGAATGACTCATTCCAAAGGGTTTCAGATTCGATCAATCTGCAGAAATGACTTTTCAGAAGACAGGAGTCTCCAGACACTTCACAGGGATTGTTTTTCAAACATGCACCATGGGAACTAGTTATTGCCTATGAGCTATATCTCATATAAAATGATAGTAACCGATAAGGAATAACATATAGAAAAACCTCCTGTATACAAACCCCTCCCATGAGAGAAACAGTGTTCCAGCTTGCTTAAAAGTGCGAACTTAGGTAGAACTCTTCAGGAACATAAGTAAAACTTAAATAAATGTGAAGTCAAATGAGAGAGTATGACAAATTCTGCATCTGTAACCTTCCTATACCCACTAGTACCTGACTAACAATAAAAACCACCCTCATAAACAGTGCATGGGAAACCACCTTAACATAAATCACTAAATACACTGATGAAAAACCATAAGTTTAAGTGAACATCTATCTCTCTAGTGCATAGTCACACCAAAATCTATGCTTCCACCATGGGAACTGCTGGCATTGCGACTGTGTAATGAAAGACCCCTCATGTGGCTATCCACATCAGAACCATCAACCTTCTTTTCCTGAAAGAATTTCTCCCTTTGAATGTGTTTTGCAGGTGGCGGTGGAATTACAACAGCTGCAGGGTGTGCACTGGGTTCTTGTGGCTGCTCTGAAGGAAGTGGCCGTATAAGTGGACGGTTCAGCCTTTCTACTGGAATGGTCGATCCAATTATGCCCAAAGGGAGATGCTCTTCTAAGTTGCCTTCATCTTCAGGTCTTGCACAGGCCTTTCCTTTTCTTAACCTGCCAAGTTTTGCATGGATATGGCAATATGAACAGGAATAAATATATGTAGTTTTGGAAGTTAAATATAATGTAACATGCTTAAAGATGCATACAGCATTAACTCCTTGCAAAAGTGGATTGGATATTGACCAGATTTGCAACTATAAGTTCTCGGAAGAGAAAATTTGCATGCTCAAATGATACATGCCAATTATTTTCACCAAATACAAGCCTAGCCCTAATGAAGATGACATGAACATACCTTCGGAAAAGCTGTTCAGGCTCCTCCTCTTCCTCTGATTCTTCATGATTAAAATGATTTGGGGCTGTGGTAGTTATATTGGAAAAGGTATTCCTATCTGAAACTGTATATCTCCCAGAAAGAAGGGCGTCATGTCTTGCCAGAACTTGCTGTAGCTGCTCATTCAATTCAATAGATCGAGAGACCAGCTTCTCATCCCTGACCCCAGAGAGAGAAAGAGAATCAATTCAAGAGCAATTACAAGTCTGGCTAATAATAAAATCTGTCATATTGACCACAAAGCAGCCCTACCTAGAAGTCATCACAAGATGCATTACTCTCTGCTTTTGGAAAGAACATTGTTCCACGAGATCAAGAGTAAACTCGTTCTTTGCTCCCTGAAAGAAAAATGTCACAAAGAGTAGAATAAGAAATGCTAACTCATAATTCACTAATGCAGTTCACGATAAAAAAAAGAAAAAGGAATCAAGCAATAAGCAATTGATAAATGTCAACCATCCAAAATTGTACGTGCAATTTACTTCTGTATTGTAAGCTATAGCCTTGTAACAACAGGAAATATTATGTCACAGCAAAATTTGGCATTGAAGCAAAACAGATGATGTTAACATGCCAGCATTTTTACCATTAACAACCACACTTTAATCCCAAACTAGTTGGGGTCACCATATTAAATTGCCTGCTTGCATCAAATTATAAGTTCATATGAAGTATATTTTTATGCACAAACAAGAAAAACACAACGCACTTTAATGTCAAGCCCTGCAAAAAGGAAAGGATCTTTTACATCATGTAATAGAGGATGTTGTTGAGAATTGAAACAATCAAGCAGAATGGTTGGAAATACCACAGTATAATAATCACATACTGCAGAAAAATTAGTAGTTTTGTGTTTAAAAGGTTCAAGCCCAAAAAAGAAATCAAATATGGAAGTTGATCCAATATGAATTTAAGTAGGATCATGAGAGACATGGAAATGTGATTGATACAAATAAGCAGAAAAGCATTCCAAGACCAAACTCAAAATTGCAGGAAAGAAAAGTACATTTTGAGAATCAACAGCATGAAGGACTTCTTTCAAAACCTCCAGAGCATTACTAGCCTTCTGAATAATACTGCGTACAATAAATGCAGATTAAAAATGGTTATTCTTTTGCAGGCAAACAATGAAACCTTCTCTTCAGTGCGTGAATGATAGAAACTAGCACCTAGCCTACCTTAAGATCAGTGCATGATGCAACATACCTCAATACAAACAAAGGATTGAATTAGCAAACTATACCTGGATTCCGGAACAACTTGAGGCTCCACTGGTGCTGGCTGAGCAACCATTCCATGTCTAGAGGCAGCAAGTTCCCCATTGAGTGTAATTTTCTTATTTCCTTGGGCAGTCTGATTATTTGATGGTCTTTCGCTTGATGGTCTTTCACGAGGCCTCTGAGGAAATTGCATTCCAGCACTCTGAAAACAATTTAAAACAAGCTTACTTTCAAGAGTTAAAAAAATCCTGCACGGCAAAAGAACAATTCAAACTTTTTGCCTATTATACTGTGCATTTGTCACTGCTGCTGGTAAAACACCCAAGCTGATAAAACCACATTACAATAGAAAGTTTTGCGATGGCAAACAGTAGGAAGGGGAACAAGGGCTGGGACCGTTGGCAAACAATTTCTAAAGCTCCAATTCATAGATATTTGGGTTAACCTTGGGACCATATATAATTGAGATAATTAGATAAAAAAAATGAAAAAAAAATTAAAATCAAACTCTAGTTATCATGTGTTAGTATTTAATCTCGTTGAAAATAAACCTTGTGATTAATGATAATAATGAAAACAATAATAAAGAACCAAATAAAAAGGAGATTAGCATGTGTTAGTATTTAAAACTCGTGATTAATCTCGTTGAAAATAAACCTAAAAAAATAATGAATAAAATTTGAAGAGAAAAAAAACAATAAAAAAAATCAAAACAAAATAAAAAACAATAAAAAAATAAATAAAATTTGACACAAAAATAAATTAAAATCAAAAGTATGGATGGCAATAACTACCTACATGTTAAATTTCTTGATATTTATACTTTACATGTTACCTACCCAATAAAAAATATAAACATCTATAAACTATCAATTGGATTTAAGACATTCACACAGGTATCAATCCTTGGGCTATTATTTATTTTTCAATAAAAAAATTACATATATTTGAAGTGTGTGTTTTTTAAATTATAAAATTATATATCATATCACATTAAGAAAATAAAAATATTCAACAAATGTATCTATATAATATAAATATATATATTTCATGTTAAGTTTAGTGGATTTCAAAGACTTTTTGATAATATTCATACATTATCTATTATCTATTATGTAATATAATTATGAAAAAAAATAATGGCTCATTCAGGTTGATATCTATCAAATTCATATTAAATTTTTACCCGTAATATTAAAGAATGAATTTGTTTATCCATATGGATATCTATTATCTAACCACTATTTATTATTAACTAAAATATTAATTAACTACTATATAAATTTGAAGAGTGCATGTGTGTCCAATTATTAAACTATAAAATAATACACACATGTGTATCATTGAGTTCAAATTAAATTTTTATATCTAATGTTGATGAACTAAAATAAAAACTAAATTGAACAAGGAAAATACTAAAAATAAAAAATAAGGATAAATTTTAAAATAAAAAATAAATGAAAATAAATAATGAAAGATGAAATTAGAAAAAAAAAACTAATTTACATAAGATATAAAAATTAAATAGATAAAAAATAAAAATAAAAATTTAAATTTAAAATAAAAACTAAATCAAATCAAATGACAAGAACAAAATTAAAAACATAAACTAACCAACAAAAGATAGAAGAACAAATAAATGAAAATAAAAGGAATAAAAATCACATCATATAAAAAAACATATAAAAAAAAAACTTGTGTACTTTTCACAAAAGATGAGAGAGAGAAAGGGAAGTCATATGAGTCACACCGTATATTATTTGTTGACAGACGCGACACCACTTCGAGTGTGTTTGGTGTTGCGGTAGATATTGTGGTTGTGGTTTGAAAAAAGTTGTTTTATAAAAAGTATTTTTAGCTGGGGTTGGTTTGAAAAAATAAATGTTTGGTTGAAATTGAAGTTGAAAAAAAAGTAATTTAATGTGTTTGGTTAAAAAAACTTTTAAAATTAAAGTTATAAAATAATTTTTAAAAATATATATTAATATTGATGATTT